CGGCGGGGAAATGGGGTGGGTTGTGATCGGGGCTTCGAGACGAGTCGAACGGAACCGGTGCCGACTCTTCCCGTTGCCGGAACTGAGAGAATCGAAGAGAGAGAAAGAGAGAATCGGGGAGAGAGAAACGGAAGAGAGAGAGTGTACGCAGGAGAGAGAGTGAGGTAAAAATGAAAAATCTGATTTTTACCAAACTCTTCGAAATATTTACGGTTCCGCCACCGAACATATTTTGATCGCCAAAACTTTGTTAAATCTCCGATTCAAGCCTACCGCCTGTCTACGGTTTCGTCTCAGTACCACCTACGCAACCAAACCACTCGTGGTCCCAAAATCTTCCCGGATAAGAAATTGACCAAAATTACCCTTAACCCAAGAGTAAATTAATATTTTCTCTTAATTAAATTAAAATAGGAAATAATTGGAGTCGGGGTGTTACACATAGTCACATTGATAATGTGCTTCTCAATCTGATAATTTCTGACACACATTGTCAACATTTTTCTTTTTGGATGGCAACATTGTAATCATCTAATAGCCCTCAAATAGATGCTATTTGATTAAAGAAACTTGTGGACAAAACATAAAAATGCTATTTGATTAAAGAAGCTTGTGGACAAAACATAAAAAGTAACAATGTTTTAACAGACGCTACCAAAATATCATGGAGTTCGAACCAAAATTATTAGACTGCAAGTTAAGGCATTTTCCACTTGACTTAGATCTTCTTATACGCTAAAAAAAAGGAGCTCACATTGATATGAAATTGAGAGAACCTTTCGCTTTTGGTCCACAAACGTGCTATGATACCAAATTGATATTCCTTTCACACCAATAAAACCACACGCTACAAACGCTTAATTAAATAAAATTATCTAAAAGTTTCAAACGAAAAGGATAAATACATGGAAAGTTCCTAGTTTTTAGAGTCCGGTAAGTAAAGCAATAAAATAAAGCAAAGAAATATAACTTTAAGAACAATAGTCATAAAGATGAATGGAAAATCACATTCAATGTGTTTCTTAATTTTTATTTATATTACTAATACTAAGAATGAATATATAATAAATATTTCTTGTTTTTTCTGCTGGCGTCAACGTAAGCATGCAATTAATGGCGGAGCCAACTAAGGCCCACAAGGGTCAGCTGACCCTCCTCCAAATTATACAACAAATGCATTTGTTATGTGTTATATTTGATTTTCTTGGGTTTCTTTTAAGTACCCTTATAACTTTCTCACTTTAGTTAATTGATCTTTCCCCCCTAATTATGTCTTTCATTATTATTCCATTTTTTCATTTCTAACTTCAATCTTTCTGTTCTTTCATTTATTGAGTTCT